TTGGAGGGGAGGAGATTGTTGTATAGGTATGATAGACCTGAGTGCCTATTTTGGAAAAATGATTATGATAACAGTTAATCGATGACAAGTCCAAAAATTGGAGGCATCATGTTCTTTAGAGTGGAATCATTTCCGTTAATGAATTTAAAAAGAGGATTGAAAACCTGAAAATTTTCCACTAGTAAAATTAGTGTTAACAGACCTCGACTCGAAGCAGTTTGATCAGAAGTCTGGAACACTCTCATTCTCGCGAATACTCAGTTCATTCAATGGAGCTGGAATTTTCGACTAATTTCAGATCGGAGCGATACTTTGTTGAGCTTATGAATAAGAGTATAAAGAGGTGCTAAAGTAAGACCAGAAATTTCGAAAAATAGATCTCTGCAGATACCTAATTCGTTGAATTGCGTTTAACTCTAACACCTAAAAATGATTATCTCAGTAATTACGATGTCTGCACATGCAAGACACTTTTACAGGCCTGGAAAATGGGATAACAACAATTGCTTAAGATAGAAGTGCCTAGCTAAGGAACATGACATCAAAATTCACCTAAGTATGTACTTGGTCTTGGCATTTATAGAAGGATAAGAACTATAAACATGAAGCACAATAGAAGTAAAAAAGACAGGGAGGAAATAGATAGGTGAAGGAAGACTAGAAAGAAGTGAGTAAACTATGAGTAACACACAATTTTGCAATCATGACACCAAATCTGAGCAGAATCTAAGTAAGTTATGGGCTAATATAATTCTGACCTGAATCCAGACCATCGCCAAGAAATGCACACATCAGAGGAAATTATGACCAGATACCAAACTCCTTCGAATGGATGGAACAATTAATCAAATTAATCGAGGTAGGTAGATTGAGAGGGAGACGCACACTTCAAACGCTAAGCCAACACTAGGCATGTCAAGGAAACACCGCAACGCACACATAGAAATACGCAGACACGAGGGACAAACATCACTCCCGAGTTCCCCCCCCCCCCCTCAACAGCACTGGACAATGAAGAAAATCCCGCGCGAACATGCTCATAGAAAAGTGGAGAGGTTCACATAGGCACACCGAAAAATGAGGGAAATCCCGCGCGAATATACTCGTAGAAAAATGGATAGGTTCACATGAGCACACCGAAGAATAAAGAAAATCCCGGCGAATTCGTTCATGAAAAAATGGAGAAGTTCATAAAGGCACAGCGAAACACTGAAAACTACGAAAGTCGATGGAAATTTTGGATACATCGAGTATCAACTGCCCAAAATACAGTTCACTCAAACGCCGGGCACGAATTACGAAAAGTCTCGAGGAAAAGAGAAATTCTCAATGGCGGCCATCATCCAATTCAAAAACAAATTAATAATGGTCACGATTGTTTTCATGTACATTGCAGAGGGGTTTTCGCGAAATACAGACGGTGCCAAGCCACGCATTGCAAGAATAAATGACGGAAGCAGCGAAACGATATGAAACTTCGAAAGTTGATGGTGATTTTGGGCATCAGTTGCCTTCAGTCAATTCACCCAAATACCGCGCACAAGTTAGTAACTTTCGAGAAAATGAGGGACTCGATTCAAGCGACGAATTACTGCACACGATTGTTTCCACATACACCGAAAAGATTTCGCGAAACCAACTAGGTAAAGAACGAGAAACGATTGTAATAGTTCACAAGTCTTAGAGGCCTTTCATAAAAGGAAAATTTCTTGCAGCCATGTGAAATTCACCACGACCGAACGCGAGACACATGCGAGACATTACGACCAACTCGAGCGACTGCTGACGGAAAGTGCCGAAAACGGAAAACGAAAGTGACGGATCTGCATAGAGAAAACAAAGGAGGTATTTGCATTTCGGGTGATTTCGGGCATCTTGGGATTTTTTGATGACTTGATGACGTAGGTGGGTACAGCGACGTTTAGCTAAATATGAAAATGGACCATAATGTCCGATTTTTTTACTTAAATCAACTCATTATATAATTTCAAGCACTTTATAGAATGACTTTTTTCCTTAAATTACACCATTTCCAAGAAAATCGACGGAATAAAAACGTCGCTGTACCCACCTACGTCATCAAGTCATCAAAAAATTCAAAGATGCCCGAAATGCAAACACCTCCTTTTTTTTCTATGGCTCGCATTCACTTTTCTCTGCACGCCGCTCGGTTTCGTGAGCATGATACATCCGGTGCCGCATTCAACAATGCGAGCATAATGCCTACCATCATAAACGTTAGGTGGACAGCCAAGAATTTTCATTACCACGTAATACCACATTACATACCGACGGTGAAACTACCAAACCACGTATCTCGTTTGCGGTGTTTAAAAATCTACGCTCACATTTTATTTTTTTGAAGTAAACCAAATCAATATCATTCCTTGAAATTTTCACAGAATTTTCTCCGCACGAAGAGGAAAAATCACAGAAGTTTTCAAGACTGGACGTTAAGTAGTTTTTCATTTAAAAAATAAAGTATGACAGGAAGTCTGCGACGTCGCAAACCGAGATATGTGGTTTGGTAGTTTCACCGTCGGTACCTACCTTGTTCGAAATTTGAATATTTGCGCGCTTGATTTCCGCATTCAGAGATGTTAGTCCAGTAAACGAAGGCGTATAGGGTCTGGTATAGGGGCCGTTTCCGGCCAAAAATTAAAATACGGCTGGATCTAGGCTCAATCGATTCTTCATATGAAAAGGTGTTTTTAGCCAAAAGTCCCCATAAATCCCCCTGGGGGATTCCGCACAGTGGTCCGATGAAGTTGAAAATTGGACATATTTTCAAAAATTCACTGCGGAGCTAGAAACAAACTTGGAGAGCTCAATTTTTTGAAACTGTAGGTAATTGAGTCTACTTATTGAGTGAACTATAGTTTTAAATGTCAAAGTAATCTAAAGGTGAGTAAAATTGAAAAAAATTGAAAATTGAGAATTATTGACCGGCATTTTCCGTATTTACGTCCTTCCCCTGAAGGGGCTATCATTGTTGGAACTAGTTGCAATTGAGTTGAAATATACTTCAACTTCAAAGTCTTGCTGGTTGCCTCTCTTTCAATTTTATGGAGTGCGAGAATATTGCAAATTGTTGGTAGAGTCGAAAGAAGTTCCAACTGCCTACCAGCGTTGGTAAGATTTGTAATAAAAACGAGTACTCTCAAGAATTCTACTAATGCTGGAAAATTTCAAAAAATTTGGCACCCTGATAAAAATGCACATTTTTTTAGCATTTTGGCAACGTTGGTGAAATCAAGAATTTCCGAGATTTGCCAAGTTTTTTTTAAATTTTGGATGGTGTTTATTAAACACACCTTGTATTTGTGGGATTAAAACTGATTAAGAAAAATAGCACGTTTGACTTTTTTTTAAAATTTTTTATTTTTTTTCAATAATGTAAAATTAGTTACGAATCATTAAAATAAAATATAACATGACTGATAGCAATGAATTTTTTCTTTTGAAAATATTAAGCTTAAAAGTAAAAGAATAATACTAATTGTAAACTAAAACATTACGAATATTACTACAGTAATATTACAATCTAATAAATTCTAATTATTTATTACATATTATTGAAATTAAAATCATAAAAGAAAGTTGCTTCCAAGTTTGAAGTGCAACGACAGTATTTTAAAACTATTATTCAACGATGTTGATTAACATTTTGTCATTGACAATTATCCGAGAGCTAAAATGTTGATCAAGAGAGATATATGTTAGTGAGATTGATAAAGCTCCGCTAAAGACGAATAATACTGATGAAAATGAAGTTATTGTTTGAATTTTGAATATGCGCTATCAGTCATTCTGAGATGCGTATTAGATCCTTCTTCAGTTTCCTTCACAGCCAATCAGCCAAACAATGTACAAAATTAATGTAGCATATTAATGAAGGCAACCAACATAATAATTATGATTCTGAATAAAAAACATACTAAAAAAGGAAAAGAAAACAAAGATCAACAACCATAAGATGAAGAGTTAGGAATCGTTATATGACAGCAATTTCTTTTATGATTTTCAACAAATACACTAGATAATACTTGTTCCGTCTTGTTTAAAATTGTCAACAATTTGATACAACTTCCAGATAGGCTCAGAGTCATGTATCACATCCCTAAAACGTTTCAACGAGTACAAACATATATTACAAAAAGTCTTCGATTAATTAGATACAACAAAAAATAGAATGACAATGGAGCAGGGGCAAAAGGACTGGGAAAGGAGGAGAGGGGAGGGGGAGGGGAAATACCACCGAAAACGCATGGCACAACAATGAAATAGTTTTGATTTATAAAATTAACGTAACATCTGAGCCTTTAAGATTGCATTTCTACGATCTTAAGTTTTAATAACAAGTATAAGATGGAGTTCGACAGCTACAAAAGAGATCATTGTGCCTTACAAGAGCATGAACAAAGAAAAAATTCTATAAAGCACTGTTCTGAGACGATATTGGTGAGAAAGCTAACATGTCACGTTCAGTGACACACTACTAGATTAGCTATGAAAATTATCAACTTCGCTTCAACACACAGCATGCGTATAGATTTCAAAGCTCTCTCATCAAGAATAAGTCATACCTTAGTAATTATGATTTATTCTATTTTAATATTCTAGAGTTCAAAATAATAAAAAATAAATTTAAAAAAACGGGAAACATACATTTAAATCATACAAATTTGAACCACGGTTCAAGCAAAAAGAGAAAAAATAAATTAAACTTTCATCAACGGCGTAAATTTTTAGATAAAGTAGCGAGAATAAATGTAGAGAGTATTGATTTTTCCACACTTACAAATAAAGCTTTCAGTTGACTTGTTTTTCTTTTCTTTTTTTATCTAATTTTCAAGATAAAACGATCAACTGAAAAACATTAATAGGTGAGCCAAAGACTCTTGTCTGTCAACCGTTTTTCTAACCGATCTTAAATGTTTTATATGATAAGTTAATTTTCAAATTGGTGGAAAAAAAAGCAAAATAAATGAGATTGAAAATTTTGAGCTTATACAATACTTTTGACAACAATACACAAATTTACCTCGATGTGCAAGCATTTTACACCGTAAGGTATAAAAAACATTTACACGCGTGTATTTTAAGCATTCCACGGTTTTAAGTCCTTTTTTAATTATAAAGTTGCCTACTAAAACGTGGCTAATTATCTAGTTTGTGAGAGAAGTTCTCTTGACGCAGGTATTTATTTTATCTATTTACACACATACACGCTCACAACCACTCACTCAAACATTCACACAAGTAAACAATAGAATCAACTTTACATCAAATTTGTTTATTTATACAATCCTAGATTTTATCTTGGTTCAACAATAGTTTTAACAGTTAATTACCTGCATCAACAACTAGGTTCTCTTTTTTTAAAAAAAGAAAAAAGAAAAAAAAGAAAAAAAAGGGGGAAATCTGTGTACAAAAACGACGATCAAATTGTATTGTATTGGAGGATTACACAAAAATGCAATTTTATGTACAAATTGTTCAGTTTAGAAGAATGTGCTTGAAAGTTCGTTTAAGATTTTCAAGTTCTCCAACCATCCCTTTTTGATACTTCTTAAAAAGTATTTTATTCAATTTTTTCCCATTTTTTTTTTTTTTTTTTTTTTTTTTCTCCTCATTAGTTTAAAGGTTTGAATTTCTCTGACGATTAGATTCTTCAGTCGTTCTTTAAAATGTGATCCATCCTCCTTGTGTCCCATTGAGTAAAATTCAACAAATAATAAATTAACCAGATTTAGTAATAGGTCTCTTGTTCCAGCCATCCTCCAGGATTACGACGTATGTAGAATCTTCTTACTTCATCATAAATGAAAATGGAAATCATGAACGGTAGGGGAGGTAACCACCAGACGAATCTGTAAAAGGATAAATGGAAATATCATTAATGATGTCCTAAGTCAAAAATATCTTCTGATTGTATCATTCTTAGCGTCTTTGAACATATTTCACATATTTCACGTTACTTATGCAGGCATCCAATTCCAAGATTTTCACTTAGAATACAATCATTCGGATAACTCCGGGGACTAATGCGTACTATAATTATGATTTGTTTTAAATACAATATAAAAAGATGCATGATAATATTTGAAAAATTTGATGAATTCTGGCACCCATTTGTATTTGGAGCATACACAGAGATTGCAAATATGTGAAAGAAATAGTGCAACATCCTGACGTAGAGTCCACAAAAATTTGTCTGCATTAATTGTGATGAACTTGAGAAAAATGGGCCTAAAGGTAGCTGCAAGAAATGAGATGACAAGACTACAGCTTAGAAGCATTAACTTTGTATCATTTACCCGGAATTTCTAAAAATTGATCTATGGGGAGCATTTCATAGTTACTGGATGCTGAATCAATAATTTAAGAAAAACAGTCAAAATTTGCTAGCGCTGTTGCCAACCTCAGGGAACATTACTTTTAAACACTTAAAACATTAATTATTATGATACAGTAAGACCTCGAATTATCGGATTGCGATTTAACGGATCAATCCTCCGGTCCCTTCAGCAGGACCGACTAGCGCAATTTAGCGGATTCCGCGATTTAACGGATTCGGTCTCCGGTCCCGTGAAATCCGATAAATCGAGGTCTTACTGTAGTTATTACTTGAAAATGTGACCCAATGTTCTTAGGAATCGTAGAGATCGTTCAGCATTGAAAACTAAAATGAATTTTTTTTCTCACTCTTTTTTGATGTGCTGAAAGTTTGGGCTTACCATTGCAGAGGTGCTTGTAGTATATCTGAATTTGGTGAGGCAGAAAATGGCATTAGCCTGTTTTTCATTTAAAATTATTGGGTAGAATTCATGCCTAAATTTCATTGCCTCCCTCTTGGAGGAAGGTATTTTGACAGCACTGTTTCAGTAATTTTCATCTCCTTTTTATTTATTTATAGGAGAGCCATTACTTGAATTTCTCTGAAATTTATAGGGATTTGTCTATACATTTGTGAGAAAAGACTCTGAAATTTTCAGACTAATTTATGAGGTTCTCCATGAAAAAATAAGATGTTTGTAGAAATACTGAACCAGCGCAGGCAAGATACGTTCCTTTTCCCCCTCAAAGACGCAGTGCATCCAACTCTGTAGATGGCTTAATCTAGCTTCCTCAATTACTGCTTTAATTGACGAGGACTGCACTGGTTATTTTCTTAATTTTATGATAAGAATCATTTTAAGAGACCCTGAATGTAAGGCATCCGTCCTTCATGCTTCCTGTGAATGCTCTCTGATTTCTACGATATATTTATCTCAGAGTTACTTACTTGAGAGGGTACATTCGGAGACCTTTGTCCATGCCAGGAGTGTACGACAGGAAGCAAGCAAGAGCCGTTTCAAAGACAAGACCAAAGTTGAGCGCCCAGTTCCTGGAAAGAAAACAGTACAAAATTAATCAACAGGAATTGATTGATGGAAGAGAAAAAACATGGAAATCATGTGAAAATCCACGAATAGGCTTTAGTAGAAACTCGTATCAAGAATTTATTCATTGCTATGGCAAAGCATGCAGTTGCTGACAAGGCCATCTGTTCAAAACAGAATCCTGTAAAGCAGAGAAATTTCTCCGTAAACAGCAGGTATTTTTTATGAGTAGGTTTACCAGAAGGAAAGGATGAAAAAGTTGGAAAACTTAAAACAAATAAAACTGACTTGAAATTTTTAATATTATTTTTAGGATTTAAAGGGAATTTCACTATTCATTTTTGGAAGTTTACGAACTTAGAATAAATTTGATTCCATATCGTTGAATCTTCCACTTCATTTATCGCTAAAGCCCCTGGAAGGTTTCTCAATAAAAAGGACTGTTAAAAGATCAATAATAAAAAATTATCGAACAACATTTTACATTCATAGTTCCAAAAACCATAAAATTGAAGTAGAAACTGAGATAAATTTGAGAACAGAGATTTATCAGAATGGTTTACCTCATTCCTTGATGGATGATTGAGTTCCGCCGAGTCTTACAAACAATCAAATCAGCCCATTGCACAACGACGATTGAGACGAAGAACGCAGTATGACACGTGAATTCCAAAGCTTTCCTGTCTCTGTAAGTCTGCAAGTATGAAATAAAACCAATGCCATTAATAATGGATTATTTTTGAAGTTTTAATAGAGCTGAATTTTTTCACTTAAAATGTAGGAACAGGGTAAAAAGGAAATTTAGGAGACCTTGAAGAATGACGACTGGGGTTGGCACCACAAACAAGCGTTCAGGATCTGTAAGAAAAGACAGCCTTTCTTGTGGGTTCACTGCTGATCATCTGACAATAAGGAGTGCGGAATCTACCGCCAAGTAATCTTACAAGAGACGAATCAGAGTGGTCATTAGTTTTAATTCCATGAAGTTCTCATGCCACTGGGTAAAAAATCATCCCAAAAAAATGCGGAGGTTAAAAAGTTCAAACGGCAAAAAATTTCTTAAAACCGAGTATGTGACCCTAACCTAAACTAGAAATGTCCAGAAAGTCACTCCAAATGTACAATATTGAGCCTCTTTGGGGCCAAAATATTTTCAGGCCCACAGTTTTTTGAAGAAAAAAAAATGAAAATTAGAGGACAGAGGGCGGAATTCTACCAGTTTTGCATGATACATGAGGGAATATACGTATGGGGTGCATATTCCATGAACAAGAAAGTCTGGATTTGAAATGCAACAAGGGAAGGTGAGTTAAAAAACTTGAACCATTGAAGGCAAAGTAAAATTGTAGTGCTCGGTGCCAGAAGGGCACTTTCTTGTTGCTGTGTTTTAGAATCTCTGCTGCTAATTTATATCTTCAGGGAAGAATCTAATTATTGAATTTTTAGAAATTTTTCTTGTTAAACATCGTAGAATTAAAGATATTCAGTAAAAATGTCAAATTCCTTGCAACGATTGAGATGTTAGTAGAGGCTCTGAAATATTGCAGCCAAGAAGTGCCATTCTCACATAATTCTTCAGACAACAAAATGTAATCTGAAGGTACCATAGGTACAATCAACACTATTTACTCACCCATTCTTGACCATAGGAATCGGAGAGATCATTGACAGCTTTGGAGTCCCAGCGTTTACGTAATCCAAACAATTTCATGGGAAGGAATCCATTTTCTGCCATGATCACAAAGTATACGAAGAACCCAGCTGCAGCTTGAATCATACCAATCTGACCATATGCCATTGAGATCAATCTGAAATAACGAAAAAATATATTCCAAAATTTGTTTTTAAGTGCAAAATTATATGCTAAACTTTAAATTGATATTGCAAAACAGATATTTCATCTAAACATGAAATATTTTCAGTGCCATTAAGGTCTGTATTTCAATGAGATGACCCTCTTTGCATTCAGATGCTTTTTCAGTGATAAAAATACTGTTTGAGGATACTAATTTACATTTTATGATTAACTGATTGAGTTTGAGTTTCAGACACTGATTTATGGTGCAAATTCTGAGATAGATTGATAAGGTGTGAAGAAGACCATGTAACAAACAAGACAAGTTTTATTTTTTTCTCAACACTCAAAATTCTTCTGGAGTTTGCTGATTCTATGATTAAAAAGAGACCTTCAGTGATTATGTTAAGTTATGTTCAACATGAGAAGATTTGAAACCTTGAAGCGACCATAGACACTTGGGTCTCAATTCAGAGGTGGTTCAGTTGATGTACTGACTGATAAAGAATATCAAAGTCATTCGCTCAAGGACGAAACATTTTTTATTCATCATCTCTTTTTAATGATTAGTTGAGTCCTTCCTACAAAATGTAAGACACTTCAGAACATTAGCACTTTTCTGAGAAATTTTGATTAAAGCTAATTCTACCTAGGTATACACTAGAAAGCACTTATCTCATAGGAACTTTTTCAGAACAAAGTAAATTTTGAAGCTGACTCATTGAATGATATGTAGGTAATTTGTATTTTTGGTCTGTTTTTTGCTTCTCTATTTCTGACAAAATTAGATAAAGTCAGGTAATGTTTATTGCTTCATATCTGAGTCACAAGAGTTTTTTTTTTAAAATACAGGCAGGAAAAGAACAACTTCATATTGAGGCAATGCTGCATGAAAATACACAGCAATTCCAAAAAGTGGTTTATCAAATTTTTTGTGTGGCACCGACTCGGTGTTCAGGCTACGAAAGTTGTGCAATCAGAGAAGGATGACTTTTGCTGACTAGTGGTGCTTTAGGAGTAATCTTACAAAGAGCTCTGATCGAAACTTCACTTGAGGAGAATTCAACTTGTGAATTATTGCACTTCAATTGATCTGAAAAAGTTCAGCTATGACTAAGATAGAGAAGATCTCTAAGGTTTCAAATATAAGTGCGTAGAAATTAAAATAGTGTAAAAGGACATGCGTACACTTAGACTATCTAAAAAGAGCAAAATTTGAGCATGCAGGGTAAATAAGTCACAAACAATACATGCTGCTTGATCTAAGGCGCAATTCATTAGCATGCTTGAAACTGTTACAGGTAAGAACTACGACAGTATTTGAAGAAGTTTGGGAAAAGAATTTCAAAAAAGGTAAAGAGAAGAAAGAGCGGAGGAAGGAAAGACAGAGGAAAGAAGAGAGACAATAATTCAAGGGAAGGGTTACATATCTACAACTATCAACTAACTAATTACAAATCTACACAAATCTAAATTGAAGATCTGAGCTTGGCTACGCAATATATTTGAAATCGTTCAAATTCCTAAAAAAAAAAAAAAAAAAAAAGTTTTACTTTGAAATTCCTGCTATTGAATTGTGCAAACTGGTTGCAATAATGCAAAACTGCAGGGAAAAACTACAAATCCAGTTCCAAAATGACAGCTTTTGAGGGAAAAAATTATCAGCCCATGCCATGGACAGTGAAGGCTCCTCTGGAGAATGGAATAAAAAAATAGACTTGATCCATTATTATAGGGTTGAAGCATAATGATAATGAATTTGAAAAAACGCATATTTCATTGAGAGAGAACAAACTATCACTATTGCTTAAAATTTTCACACAGAGATAAAAATGTGGAAATTTTCAAGAAATAATTCTAAGTATTTTTTCATTTAAAAAATAAATTATGACAGGACGTCTGCAGCATTGTAAACCAAGATATGCATTTTTGCAGTTTCACTGTTGACAAATAACTGACTCATTTAAGCAACCCTTGTTCAATGCGTTGCTAAAAAAACACGGAGATGTACCCTTAAACAAAAGACCAAGCCGATCATTTTCCTCCATCCTTCAGTCAGGTTTGGCTCATGTTATGGACTGAAAGTAGTATTTTTATTATTTCTCAAAGAAGTGAGAGGAGAGCTAAGCTCTTCCTCCGAATAAGTAGGTTCTGATTTCATTTTATTTTTTGGTGGCTATTCCAGTACCTACAGCTAAAAGAAAGAGTATAAACGGCAGAGCCAAACCTAGCAAAATGTATATATACGAGAATACAATTCCGCCTACTCCTATATTCCACCCTAATGTGAATTGTTCAAAGAATAGACTGTCAGTTTCGGCGCGGTAAATAAATCCCTATCCGGTTTTTTTAGTTTTATGGTAAATTTTGAGCTTGTTTTGTATAATTAGAACTCAATTATTTTACCTTTGGATCAAAAATAAGTAGAGGCAGAAATGAAGCTGCTTACATTGTTTAAATTAAAACGATATGTTTTCCAAATGATCACAATAATTTTTCAACAGAATATTTAAATTGATGGAATGATTTTGAAAAAAAAAAAATTCTTTTAGTCTTAAGAAATCTAAAGCACAGAAAAATAACTATGCAAGAGACAAAAATGTATTTAACATAATATGATGAACAGCAATTGATACAGATTTTCATGGTGGGCTTTTAAAAGAGCAAATTCGCTCCATGCCTAATTGCTATGTAAAAAGTATCAATAAATAATTAAAATGCGTTTTATCAGACATTTATATCTTTTATGTACACACTTAAGGTACGGATGATGTCATCCACTGTTTTTTAAAGGCAAGTTTTACTGTCTCGGTGGATCTGCTTTTATTTAGCTGATCCATAAGTTTTAATTTTTAAAATTTAATTCTGTAATAAGCACAACTTACCCATTTACATTATAAATTCTATGAATGTAAAAATAAATTATGAACTCTCCATATTTCTGTAAATTAAATTTCTTGTTAGAATGATGGTGCATAATATTTTCTCCATTTCTACTTATTTTTACTGACAAAGATTTTTGTTGTTTTAATTATTCTTTTCGGAAGTGACTAAAATGATACGTACAGACTAAGCTTTAAAAAATTTAAAATAAGAAGGTTTTCAATACTTATTATACATTGAGTAATATTTTTTCACATGAGATCCACACGTTAACAGCTTACTGACACATGCATGCATCTAGTTTTGGCCCTAACTAGAAACCTGTTTCTAGACATTTGCACAAAAGATTTCAACTACTATTTGAGAGTGTTTTATCACTCTTTTTAACTTTTGGTCGCCAATTCTCTATAAATTCCTTATAGGAATCTGGACTAAACACGGAACCAAACTACGTGGAGTTGCATGCAACTTAGAATTGCTGATTCAAATTGAAAACAAAAAAAAAATAGATAAATAAATAAATAAATAAAATAGACTAATGAAAATTAAATGAATAAATAAATAAAAACTTATTTGAAAAACAGATGCCCATGCCTGTTGATAAGTTGGATTGTACACCTAAATAGAAGAAACATTTTATTTATTTATCTACCTGTGATTGACCAAGTTATCTTTATAGGGATTTCTTGGTTGTCTCTTCATTATGTCGCTCTCTGGTGCCTCATAAGCCAGTGAAATAGCTGGCATCTAATCATGCCATATCATAAATACAATTAGAATTGATCGGAAAAATAACATTGACATATACAAAGATTTACACGCCACACACATGTTCATGACACGCACACGAGAGACACAGACACTCATTTGATAAAACACAGAACACCACTCCTAACAAAGAACAACAGCCAGCAATAATTGAAAATCGATTGCTTGGATCAAAGAAATATGGGAATTACTTTAAAAAAACCGATGAAACAGCCTTCATTAGAGTTTTGCGACGTAATTCAATTAAAAAATAATAGGAAAAACATATTTTGGAAAAATAAAAAATAAAAAAATGATTGAAAATGAAAAAGGAGGCTACACAAATCTTTTCGCATCTTTAATATTTTTCTCGAGAAAACGGTTTTAATTTTGTGTAAGGAGTAGATTGAAATGTAACTCTGAGAGAAATTTACAGAGAAAAGTCAGCAAAACATTCATTGAGCAAACACTCACACTTAGGTAGAATTTGAACAAGACTAGAGACTCAAAGTATTTGCAGGATTTGACGATTTAAGAACTTTGAGGAAATAATACAAGAGCGCTTAGTGTTATCGTAAATAGAAGCGAATGGCATTAGTTAACTCGGTGAGAAAACTTAATTTTCAGCAATGTGAGAGTAATAAATGGCGTAAGATTTACGGAGTACAAAATAAGAAAGAAGGAAAGGAGAATAAAAAATTTAGGATCAAAAGCTAAAATTGGAGAAAAATTTTCTAGTAATCATTGAGTGTTTACTGCTTGAAAATCTGACACTGAGATTAAGCTATAATTAATTGTTAACAAAAGAGAAAAGAAGAAAAAGAGAACAATTAAAAGCTATGCTAAAGTTAAAGTAATTAATGATAGCTTAGTTTTACCAAATAATTTTAAAAGCATCTGATGCTTTAGTGCGGGCAGATAATCAAGAAAAATAAAGATAAGAACAAGTAGGTGATATTGAAGTAGCAATTTCAATCAAGTTTTTCAAAACTTGGTCAAAAATTCAAGGTTGGATCAGCAAAATAAGCTTTTAAAATGATCTAGATGAATCAATGAAATTAAGAGCAAGAATACTAGATGAGCAAAGGTGCTGCATGATTAAAGTACAGATTCACTTTTGAAAAATTCCAGTTCTCGGACTTTTCACTGCGACAAGAATTAATACATATGTAAAAGAAGTGGAACAATTTTACTTCTTAACACAATTTTTACGCTATGGTCTATCATCAAGTCAATCAAATATTTTTAAAATTAATAAGCCTCTCTCTTTATGATTTCAAAGCGCGATTTCCTTTTCTTCTTGAAAAACAGCGACTGAACTTGCTACTCATTCAAGCCGGCAGTAAGTACCGTAGTCAAAAAAGGGAAAGATTGCAGTTTAAGATTTTAGGAGGAGCAAACTTCAAAACAAAGCTATCAAATTAAATGAAATAGATGTATGTTAAAGGACTTCCATTGAAAAATATGGTAAAATTGCAAAGGAAAAAATTCACAGAAAAACAACATTTGTGTTGAAGTTTGAAAAGTTAGATTTCATGATTCATAATGAAATCAGATTAAAGGCTAACAAAGAAAAATACCCGTTAAATTTTAAAATTGCATATTGGCTACTGAGATAGGATGGACGATTTTGGGGACTAACTAAACAAAATGTAATTTTTTCAACACTAGAACAAAGAAATTATGACATAGTGGGACTGAAATTGGAAAGGGGGTGAATAATTTCATTATTTCTAAACAAAGATAGGGAAGAGAATAGAAGAAAATAAAAATGAAACACTGACTGGACCAATCTAAAAATGGCTTGCAGCTATGTATTTACTAATCCATAATAACTTGATTATAAGACAGCCGTACAATCATTACCATGGAAAGTTAAAGACAAACCATGGCATAAGTTTTAAAAAAAAAAAATTGTGTGGCGTAAAGAAAGAAAATGAAAAATGTATTGGCTTGACTTCTAACAAGAAGTGAATAGAATCGGATCTCTCAACAAAAACTATTTAATGTCGCATCGCAAATGCTCAAATATACAAGTATGGACGGATTCATTCTACTCTTTCTTCATGAGTGCACATAAATCTGCACAAAAAACTAGAATGATGAAGATTGTCTGAGAATATCATAAGAAAAACAACAAACGATGAAGAAGGCTTATTTTAAGATCAAACTGATTCTTGCTGGCAAAGAGGAGTCAATGTTTCATTTGTCAGATTAAGCGAAAGGAAAGAGAAGAAGAAAAGAAGAAAGAAGGAAAGAACAAATGGTTGCCGAAAGCTCCATATTTCAGAGATTATTTCCACACCCCACAGACCAATGGATGGTTCAAGGCATGAAAACAATTGGTACACGTAATAGAGAATGAAATAAAAAATTACCTAGACAACTTAAATGAAATCATTAATGATCACCTGATTATGAATGGTTAATATTTGAGTGATATATAAAAAAAAAGGAAGGAATGAATTAATGAATAATGACTAAGAGATATGGGACATTTCTTCATTGGAAATGATATGAAATAAAGGAAGAAATGGTGGGAGAGAACTTGGAAATGCTGAATAATAATGGGAAAATGGTTGACATGAATGAAATGGATGTTCAATCCTACGTTGGTCGGGATAATCTAGCTGATACAGTGATATCACTGTGCAATGCGCAAATACTCTTTTATTTTGGTTGGTTGGTACGTTTGGTTTATTTGATGCTTTTAACATTTGAGCCATTAACACCTTAGAGGAAAAATCAAAATAGTGTAGTGGCAAATGTAGAAGGTTGTATGTAAGACACTTGGCGATAATTTTAGAAACTGACAAAAAACGTTTAAACAGCTGTTTTTACTAAAATTTAAAAAAAAGCAACATGCAAAAAATTGAAGTCAAATCATCGGATCTTCATTTATACATGACCCGTTGCAAAGCTCCAAAATTTAAGCTTGTATATGATTTCAAAACAATTAGATAAAATTGAAAGGACTGTCAATTTCTCTTTTTAAAAGGGCAAGAACAATGATTCAGAGTGGGCAATCACTCCTTGACCAACGAGGAGTTATAAGACTGAGGTGACAGTGATGCAACATAAAATGACACAGTGGCATGCAACAGAGAATGGAGTGGCATGTTTTTTATTTATTCGAAAAAAGATTCAACAGAGAAATAAGAAGATAAATACACAGAAAGAGAATAAAAAAACCAACAAAATGGGAAACCTGTCCCATTGGCTGTTACAGAACGAGGCAAGAATAAAGAGAAAGTATAATAAGAAAGTAGAGGAGGAAGAAGTGAACGTAATGAATCAAAACAAGATTCCGGAAAACTCATTAATATATACAAGAGACGTTAATTCATTGCAAAAGAAAAAAATGTCATATAACATTTGCAACATCTGAATAAGTTCAACGACAGGGAATTAGACTTGCAGCAAGGCTGAGGAAAATAATTGTTAAGAGGAAAAACACATTTGACTTTTGTCAACTGATGAACGTCATGCAAATCATGATGAACAAAAGGGAACTTTTGAATTCCAAAGTGGGTTGCCTTAATGCTCTAGTCTTAAAAACAATTTTCAAGATGACAGGGAAAGAAAAATGAAGAAAGAGAGAGAAAAAAAAGGTTGAAATGATGTAATAAAGAAGGGGACAAGATGATGAGTCAAAAAAAGTTGAAAAAAGGACTTCTCATGAAATCTTCGAATCTTGAGAATCCAGCAATGTAGTTAAGTCCTTTATTTAGAGTTATCTTTCACTTATCATGGAACCTACTAGGAGAAATCCTTTTTTGGGCACAGCAGTCTTTAGGAACGGTCGGATGGAAAAAAAATACCTTAGATTTCCCACCAGTGAAACATACGTTAAAAAATTCCCTATAACTCTGATCAGTGATTAACTGAGAAGAGGAATTTCTATCAGAGAGAGAAAAAGATTGTATTGATCAGTTTTAGCACATGATTCTATGATCAAATGGAATTAATGACTTCCATAGAGGCTTTGAAGAAAATTTTGCATGAGAATTTCGGCCGCGATTAAATTCTACAAGGATGCAAACATCTTAACTATTGGAATGTAAAAAGTTCCTTCAAAAAAATTCATGTTCAGCATCTCAGTTCTTTATACGAGGTTATAGAAAGATATATCAGAGAGCAAGAACTAGTAAGTCACAGCAAGCTATATTTGAACTAATTTTAAAAAGAAATATTGTGTTGTTGTTCATTGGAACTATTGCAAATTATTGAAACATTCGTTGAAGTCAAAATGTCTATGTAAATGTTCGATTTGACTACAAGACACTGTCTTTCTTAAAAACTTTTCTGAGAAATACTTGGTGCTTAAAAGGGCTCCGTTTTTATATATTCTTTGGGTGACAAAAAAGTCAATATGAAGACCTTAAAGAAAAAAAAAGTGAATTTATACTACTTGGATCCATACCCCATTATGGTGAGTGAACAAAAAGTAGCTTGAGCATTACAGATTGCGCATAATACAACAAATTTACGTGAGTTATTACTGCCGGTAAAATTAAAAAAAGGCTGCAAGTTTCAGAATAAATGGGTCAGGTCAATTAGCGACTGAATTCCTATTACGATGTGTAAAATTTTATTGGGTATTCTATTGTAAAAAAGAAGAAAAGGATAAGAACGGAAGGACTGAAATTTACAGATTCAAACAAGAGTAAACAGAGAAAGAGGATAGCAGCTTTGCAATGAATCAGAGAAAAATATAACAGTAATGAGATGGCAGATTGAGTAAGACAGCAAGAAGCGTTTTTTTGGAAATAATACGACAAAAGTAAAGTTAGGGGAAATTTTCGGACTGTTCAAAGGCATTGAATCAAAAAAGCACTTAGGAGGTTGAAAGAGAGGAAAAAAATTTGAGCCCCAATAGTAAAAAACTATTTAAATGATTGCTAGGAGAGAGTAAACTGCGGACAAAATTTCAAAGGAATGGTTGGAAAAATGGAGTAACAACTTGCGAAAGATACAGAGGAAGGAAGAGAGTAGACACC